CGGCTTTGTATTACTACTAACGATAGTTTTGTGTTTGAAGTGGGCTCCCGTGGGTTGATTCCAACATCATTATATGCACGCGGGAAAGCATATCTAGTCGCGTTCCCTTTTTCCATGTTTCAACGCACTCTCTGGAATGAAAGTCTCATAATGATTCCTCACCCAACGTTCAGTCCATTTCGGGCATCTGTTTGCTTGATTGAACAATAATGCTCCCCTGCTAGCCACTAGGCTTCCGGGGTTGGAGATGAAACGCAGCTAAAATGGCCCGCCCTTGCAAGGTCCCGATCTCCCTCTTCTGCACCAACAAGGCTTCAAGCAGAGATGGGATACTTCCATTCGCGCATTCTTGACCAGACAGACTGGCCTGTGCTTCCAGAGTTTGCGGATTTCTCAGCACAAAGTTACCGTGTCTCAACGCCCGCGTCTGCTGCGCAAACAGTCCACTCCAACGCACAGTTTGAATTATTAATCCCAAACGCCAATTCCTGAACAAATGATGCCGTCTGCCACAGATGTCTTGTCCGCCCAGAAATTACATCTCCTCGGATGGGCAGGGGCCCGCTGTCGCTGAGGATCCTCGCCGGGTCCAGTGGACGTAGACCGTGCCCAATTAACGAGCATCGGAGAGATAGCCACTCCGGAGGACCCTTTTGTCGCCGTCGCCATGCAGATATAAAAACCGCCTCCACCATCATGAAGACGGTCTGTCACCGCCGCGACGTTCACGCTGGCTGTTGGCCGGTTACCCCGCCGTTGACTAATCGCCTTCCGGCTTTCCCCTCGAAATTCCCTTCCGGGACGATCTTATCAATCTGCCGTATCATTTTTCTTCCATCCTCGCCGCCTCAAAAAGCACCGTCTGCCTCGACTCCTCGCATTTGCGCTTCTTCCCCTTTAGCTATTTCGTCTCGTCGTGCATGGGCTTCTGTTGCCGCTCATTTTGCCGTGCTAGCCGATTTTTTGGTTAAAAAAGCTTCAAGCGTCAACTTCCCACTCGCGCTGTTCTTCGTTAATTCCATTCTGAAGCCCTCGTCATCTCGGTATCCCTATAGATTTGAAGCATTTCGAGATGGACCTATAGTCAAACTGCCGGTAAACGGCTCTTGGCGGTTGCTCCATCGTTTTTTCGTTGTTTCTGTGGACAGCGGCCCCCGTTCCTGGTTCATCTTTTACCGTTGAAGATATCCCCTCGTCTTTGTATCTCTGTTCATCCCACATATACTCTTTTATTTGCGTATTTGCGTTTGGGTTGGATAATATGACTTTTGCTGTTCTCGCTCGCAAACGCCGCCGGCAACTCTCCCCTCCATCTCCTCCGATCGCTCCCAAGCGAGCATCTCAGATGATAGTCCCGCCGCTGCCGATGACTCCTCCCGACCCTGATGCCGACCCGATCGCTAATATCAACCCAAGTATACCACCCATGGACACCGTCGTCCACGTCATCGCCACAGAGAAGGCTGCTTTGGCAAATCTGGAGCGGATATATACGACCGATACGCTTTCAAGGGAGAATATGGAACGTGCAGTGGAACGGGTCGCAAGAACCATCAACATCGGAGGGAAGCTCGTGATTTGCGGGGTTGGAAAAAGCGGCAAGATTGGAGAAAAGTTGGTTGCGACGATGAACAGCTTTGGGATCCAGAGCTGCTTTTTGCACCCGACCGAGGCACTGCATGGAGATTTGGGTATGATAAGACTGGTATGCTCGACAATTGTCCCCAGCAAAATCCTTCTTAGAGCAACAGAGGTCTGATGTCTCCATGAGCATAGAACGACACCTTACTTTTTATCACGTTCTCGGGTAAAACGTCGGAGCTATTAGTGCTTCTACCTCATCTCCCACCTACCCTACCGGTGATTGCGATCACGTCACATATGCAGCCCTCGTCGTGTGCTTTGTTGTCAGATTCTGATATCCGGGATACGATTCTGCTTCCTGCCCCCGTTCATGAGCGTGAGGAGGTATCTTTTGGCTTGCCCGCTCCAACAACATCAACAACCGTTGCTTTGGCATTGGGTGACGCACTTGCACTTGCGATCGCTCGAAAACTTCACACTGTCCCGGGAAGGGGTCCGGCAGAAGTATTCAAGGGCTTCCACCCAGGCGGAGCCATCGGAGCCGCGTTTGCATCGTCGTCGTCTCCGTCTCCATCCGTAACACCGTCGTTAAGTTCCGTGTCTTCCACAGCAACATCGCTTTCATCTGCAACATCGAATGCGGGCCCAACGCAAGCTAACTGCCTTAATCCTCTGCCCCAATCATCTCACCAAAAGTTAATATCCAGTCTTGCGACTCCCTATTCTTCGATACCGATAATTTCTTACCATACAGTTCCATATTCTGAAATCCGCATCGCAGATGCCCTGGCGGCGGCGGTGCGTTGTCCAGAGGCAGCGTTTTGGGTTTTAGTGACCCCCAGCCACCTCCTTACCCCCAGAGTTCTTCGCCGGCTGGCTAAAACTCGCGATCCTGGAGTCAAATTCGGCGATTTTGAGAGCGAAAGCCACGATCTGTTTCGAAAGAATTGGATCCATGTTCCGAAATCGTCAACTATTGCCGACGTGCGTCAGATCCTTAATGGTATCGACTCTACTAGCAGGGGTAGAGAACCGACAGAAAAGAGTGCGAGACACACCAGAAACCGTGTAGTTGCGCTCATGAACGACAAATCTGAAGATGACCTTTTTGGGTTTGTCGAAGAAAGAGAGATCCCGCAGTGAATGATTTATGATCACTGGCCCAAGTTTGTCTTTTGTGGGGA